TATCAACACCAAATAAAAAACTATTCAGATCACTAGCCGAGAGCGCCAAACAGCAACAAAATGTTTCCACTCTCTTAATGGTTACGAAGCCTACAGTTGTCCTACATCGCTAATTGTGGTATCATTGGAATCGCAATAAAATTCTCTACACGGACATATGCATATAAATATAGATTCAATGTCGTAGCCCATCCAAAACAGTGTGGGAATTGGCCGAAGTGTTACCCGCGGCGGCATATCGGCGAAACTCGCTTTGAAAAGTGTATATTCAATTCACTGTCCTGACATTATTTGTCGATGTATGTATTTCATTTTTGTACCAACGTGCTCGCAATAGAATGTTCTATAAGAACATAAGTATTAAAGGTCACATAAGGATGCGTTCGATCGGCAACATATATAAAAACTACGTCGATTACACTCGTCGTGTCAATAATACAATTGTTTTACCACGATGATTCACTGCCACGCCGTTTTCTTTTATAAGCTGTTCGGCTTTTAGAGAAAACAAAAATTTCATGGCAAACATTTGTAAACTATTCCCAAGTTGATCGGATAATAAATGGATTTTATACAAATATTTTTGCTCGTGACTCGCTCGAGGGGCACGCGTGCGGTATGATTAATAATATTGGTGCCGACGACGGTCTGCTGGAAAGCGCCAAAGTGAATTTGGTTCCTATGGGGTATAACAGGCGTGAGTGATGTATATATGTGTATGTGTCACACCTTCCCTGATATCCTCAAAAAAGCAAGAGTAACGCCAGTCCATAAAGGAGGCAATCCGGCGGACATAAACAATTATAGACCAATATCAAATCTACCCATTCTATCAAAAATATTTGAAAAAATTATTTACAAACAGCTCTATTCCTACCTCGTAAAATTCGACATACTCAGCCCCTGCCAGTTTGGCTTCCGGTCCCAAAAGAGTACCAATGATGCAATCATTAGTCTCCTTGACATTATCTACTCAGCCCTTGACAAAAATGAGTTTCCGATTGGACTCTTCATTGACCTAAGAAAAGCCTTTGATACTGTTAATCACAACTACCTCTTACTTAAACTCCAGCATTATGGAATCCGAGGCCTTGCCCTTGACTACATCCGATCCTATCTTAGTGACAGACACCAATATGTAACCATCAATGATACAACTTCTTCCACTCTACCAATTACCGTTGGAGTGCCACAGGGCAGCATCTTAGGACCTCTTCTATTTCTTATATATATAAACGATCTGCCTAATGTCTCTAATATTCTCAAACCTATATTGTTTGCTGACGATACTACCCTTATCTACTCAAACCTCAACCCACATACACTAAATAATGTTGTGAATAATGAATTAAAAAAAGTCCACTTATGGATGTCAACGAACAAACTAACATTAAACATCGAAAAGACTTACTACATCTTATTTGGAAGCAAATCATCAAATGCAATTCAGCTACAGATAGACAACATTAACATCAGTAATAAAAATGATGGCAAGTTTCTTGGCCTATTCCTAGACAAGAGACTCAACTTAAGTACCCACATTCAACACATAACTAAGAAAGTCTCTAAGACAGTTGGTATACTCTCCAAAATCAGATATTATGTTCCTAACTCTGCTCTCCTCTCACTATATTATGCACTAATCTACCCCTATCTTAATTATGGTATCTGTGCATGGGGGTCTACCACTGCAAACCACCTTAAGCCCATCATCACACAGCAAAAATCTGCTATCAGAATAATAACTAACTCTGCTTTCAGACAACACTCAGCTCCCTTGTTTAAATCTCTAAACTTGCTAAATATTAACTCCCTCCACACATTCTCTTGTGTCAACTACATTTACAAAACCCTGTACTTAAATGCAAACTATGCTCTGAAACTCTCCCTGGACAGATGTAATAGGACCCATTATCACCACACCAGAAATAAATATCTCTTTGATATCCCCAGGGTCAAACTTAATCTGTGTAAACACTCTATGCAAATAAAGGGACCCAGTCTATGGAACTCACTCCCTATTGAATTGAAAAGCTGTCCAACTTTTGCATCATTCAAAAACAATACTAAAAAGTACCTAATTTCATCTTCATAGTTTTTTACCTTTTGCTTTAAAACTGCACTGTATCTATTGCTACCCAATCTCCCAATCTTTATGTACCCAATCTGAACATCTTTATCATTGCGATCATTGCTGTCTTCTTATATGTACTGTCAATCTGCTGTATGGTGTCTATTAATCTTGTTTAAATTACCAATCAAGCTGTCAATGTAATCAATTAGAGCTTTAATATACCAATGTGCTTTAATATACTTACTAATCTCTTTCATCTCATTTTTTTTTGCAATTTGTTATCATTTTATTAATTCTGATAGAATTTACCTACTTAAAATTATCTGTTAGATTAAGGACCTGCCCGAAACGCAGCGCGTACTAGTGGCTTTACAAGAGTGCAATTACTGTACCATGCTATGTATTCTCACAAACCCAATGTACCTTCTTGTATATAAATAAATAAATAAACAAACATAGACGCGATAAAGCACATAAACTATTGGGATCGTTTCAAAGCTTCCCAAATGTACTTCCTAGAAAGGAGACAAGAAAGATATATTTACACGTGGAAGATACTGGAGGGCCAGGTTCCAAATCAACACAGTAAAATAACAACATACTGGAGTGAACGATATGGAAGGGAATGTAGAATAGGACCAGTGAAGAGCAGGAGTGCCATAGGCACAATCAGAAAACACTGTATAAATATCAGAGGTCCACATTTGCTCAACATGCTCCCAGCTAGCATAAGAAATATTGCCGGAACAAACTTGGACGTCTTCAAGAGAAAATTGGATAGTTTCTTCAAGAAGTACTAGACCAACTGGGCTGTGTTGGATATGTGGGCCTTCAGGCCGCTCCAAGCAACAGCCTGGTGGTCCAAGCTCTCACAAGTCAAGTCTAGTCCCAGGCCGGGCTTGGAGATTAGAACTCCCAGAACCCCATCCAGGTATATATATCAATAGTATTGTCTTTATAGTTGAGAACATTAGAATTTTGAAAGAACAGCATGTTAAAATTTATGAATACGTCCTTGGGGTCAACCGCTTAATGGAATGAACATAGACTGAGAACGGGTTGCGGGAGACCCGCGGCGGCCTGGGTTCGAATCCTGAGGGGTCATAGAGTTTAAGTGATTTATATATATATATTTATATTTATGTTTATATTTATATTAAGGTTTATGATAATATTACCAGTTGCTGATATAAAAATATATTATAGATAAAATAAGTTTAAAGATAATGTGTGTGTGTATATATATAGTTTATGAATGAGGAGGGTGACGGGCAGGTATAGTGGCCAACAGGGTTAAATAAGTTTAAATAAGATAAAATAAGTTTAAAGATAATGTGTGTGTGTATATATATAGTTTATGAATGAGGAGGGTGACGGGCAGGTATAGTGGCCAACAGGGTTAAATAAGTTTAAATAAGATAAAATAAGTTTAAAGATAATGGGTGTGTGTATATATATAGTTTATGAATGAGGAGGGTGACGGGCAGGTATAGTGGCCAACAGGGTTAAATAAGTTTAAATAAGATAAAATAAGTTTAAAGATAATGGGTGTGTGTATATATATAGTTTATGAATGAGGAGGGTGACGGGCAGGTATAGTGGCCAACAGGGTTAAATAAGTTTAAATAAGATAAAATAAGTTTAAAGATAATGGGTGTGTGTATATATATAGTTTATGAATGAGGAGGGTGACGGGCAGGTATAGTGGCCAACAGGGTTAAATAAGTTTAAATAAGATAAAATAAGTTTAAAGATAATGGGTGTGTGTATATATATAGTTTATGAATGAGGAGGGTGACGGGCAGGTATAGTGGCCAACAGGGTTAAATAAGTTTAAATAAGATAAAATAAATTTAAAGATAATGGGTGTGTGTATATATATAGTTTATGAATGAGGAGGGTGATGGGCAGGTATAGTGGCCAACAGGGTTAAATAAGTTTAAATAAGATAAAATAAGTTTAAAGATAATGGGTGTGTGTATATATATAGTTTATGAATGAGGAGGGTGACGGGCAGGTATAGTGGCCAACAGGGTTAAATAAGTTTAAATAAGATAAAATAAGTTTAAAGATAATGGGTGTGTGTATATATATAGTTTATGAATGAGGAGGGTGACGGGCAGGTATAGTGGCCAACAGGGTTATGTGACCAGTGTGGTCCTGGCAGCCAGCGAGGGAGGCTCTGCTCACTCTTCTCTTAACACACTTTACATAATCTAACACATGCGCTCAAATACTGACAATTGTTTTTCAAAAGGTTTAATAAGACTTTTCGGACGATATTGTCACTAAGGACAGTGTAGTTTAAAAGTTTAGCGGTGATCCAGTAGTGTATTATAGTGAAGAGAGTGTGAGTATCGTGAGTTAGCGAGTGTGAGAGTATAGTGAGTATAGCGGCGTCGTCTGCTAGGAGCAGCAGCAGCAGCAGCAGCAGCAGCAGCAGCAGCAACAACAATGTACAACGTCTCCCGGGGTCCCAGCAGAATCATAAACAGAACCAGGAGGGGTGAGAGACGCGCGCCACTTTTATCATTGTTTACCTTTAACAGTGCCAGACAATGCCAGGTTGTTGATAATAAGGTAGGATAAGGGACTGTGTAATGACAGAGGTTTCGTTTTGCCCGCAGATTTAAGTCAGAAACTAGAAAGTTTAGATCAAATCCGGGAGTTGACTCGCAAGAGCTGTGTGACGGAGGAGGAGGACGCGGAACACACTACCATGAGGTGAGTGTTGCTGCTCCCACAAAACAGGTCCACCATGTGTGTCTTCCCTCACCATCACCATTAATAGTGTAACAGTGAGGTCTGGAGGGTTGGTGTTGAGCTGGTGACCTCTCACCTCACGCTTGACCAAAACTGCTCTACACATATTGCAAGTTGTCAGTGACTCCTGCCACCACCATATTTACCACCATGGTCTTCTCTAGCGCTGCTAATATACAATATTTGCCTTAGTTATCATCCTCTTAGATTGAATAAGGTAGTTATGTTTTCGTGAAGGGAACACAATACCTCGCAACACTGCGCCATAACCAAAGAAATTCCATAGAAGAGAGATTGGCCCCTCGTGAGGCATTTCTCAGTAATGTCCAGTCACAACCACCACATTTTGTCCATCCTTGAAACACAGGAGTGGTGGCACGTGTTGTCTCTTGGCGATGGTCTTCACATAGCCGCACACTGTGTCCAAACCTGTGTTTACTCAGGTGTTTGACTAGCTGTGTAATGTGGCTTCTTTAGTGTGTGTGTAACGTCTGCTCTATGGCTCTCCTTCCTTCTACTTCCTTCTCCCTCCCTCCCTTCCTTCTACTTCCTTCTCCCTCCCTCCCTTCCTTCTACTTCCTTCTCCCTCCCTTCCTTCCTTCTACTTCCTTCTCCCTCCCTTCCTTCTACTTCCTTCTCCCTCCCTTCCTTCCTTCTACTTCCTTCTCCCTCCCTTCCTTCCTTCTACTTCCTTCTCCCTCCCTTCCTTCCTTCTACTTCCTTCTCCCTCCCTTCCTTCCTTCTACTTCCTTCTCCCTCCCTCCCTCCCTTCCTTCTACTTCCTTCTCCCTCCCTCCCTCCCTTCCTTCTACTTCCTTCTCCCTCCCTTCCTTCCCTCTACTTCCTTCTCCCTCCCTCCTTTCCTTCCCTCTACTTCCTTCTCCCTCCCTCCTTTCCTTCCTTCTACTTCCTTCTCCCTCCCTCCTTTCCTTCCTTCTACTTCCTTCTCCCTCCCTCCTTTCCTTCCTTCTACTTCCTTCTCCCTCCCTCCCTTATATGTTAAATTTAAGAAGTAAGGTATATTACAAAGTTTATCAGATAATTTTTAGTTTCTCTTTCAAACTGGTTGAGAGAGACAGTCTTTGATGTGATTAGGGAGGTCATTCAGCATTTTGGGACCCTTGAATTGCAAAGCATTTCCGCTTTGGTTAGGTAGCACTTGGAATATCAAATAGATACAGTATTTGTTTCTAGTGAGGTACCCATGGGTTCTACTACAGACCTCTAGGAAGCATTTAAGGTTAGGATTAGCAATGCAGTTCAATGCTTTATATATAGAGTACTCTTGAGAGGATGTGTAGTGACAAATATTTAACATATTCAAAGATTTAAGTAAGGGGACAGAGTGCTGTAGGACCTTGTTTGTTATTGTTCTAATTGCTGATTTGTGTTGAGTACAGTAATTAGGAGTAGTAGATAATTTTGGGTAGTAGAACCCCCAACACAGATACCATAGATAAGAAAAAGAGAGATGAGCGAGTAATAAAGCATTACTAGTGCACAATGAGGTACATAGTATTTGATTTTAGAAAGAATGCCAACTGTTTTACCTTTTTTTCCTATTATTATTACTGTATATACTCTATATGACACTGGAAATTCAACTTTGTTATCAATGAGAACACCAAGGAATTTATGATCTACTTTGTTACTAATTGGGATATTGTTAATTCTTGGGTTAAATTAATCAATGGATTTATTAGCAAACAAAATGTAGGCGGTTTTATCAATGTTAAGGGTTAGTTTGTTAGCAGTTAGCCAAAGGTGGACTTTATTTAGTTAAGTGTTCAATGTGTCATTCAGAGGAGAGGGTTAGGACTATAGAAAATTAAGATTCATCAGCAAATAAAATTAGTTTGAGGTGTTGAGAGTCATCGGAACATCATTGATTTAGATGAGAAAGAGGAGAGAACCAATTATGCTGTCCTATGGAACAACAAGGTTAATGGGTTGGGTGGGAGAATTAACATCATTCAGAGATACATATTGGAACCTGTCACTGAGGTAAGATTGCAGGCATTGCAGGGAGTGATCTATGACTCCATAGACTTGTAGTTTAAGGAGGAGGTTATTGTGGTTAACCGTGCCAAAAGTCTTACAAAGGTCAACAAGTAAACCAACAGGGTACTGTGGTTAACCGTGCCAAAAGTCTTACAAAGGTCAACAAGTAAACCAACAGGGTACTGTGGTTAACCGTGTCAAAAGTCTTACAAAGGTCAACAAGTAAACCAACAGGGTACTAATTTTTGTCGAGTCTAACAGTCCCCGTGGTGTAATGGTTAAGATACTTGCCTGGCATTTCACGAGCGCTTTGTCCTGGGTTCGTATCCTGACCGAGGAGGATTTACTGGGTGTCAATCCTTAACTGTAGCCTCTGTTTACCCAACAGTAAAATGGGTACCTGGTTGTTAAATGAGTTGGTGGGGTCGTATTCCGGGAACATAGGATTAAGGACTTGCCCGAAATGCTACGCGTACTAGTGGCCATACAAAAATGTAAAATCTCTTGTATATATAATTAAATAAAATAAAAAAAGCAGCGTGTATGAAGGTAATCACACTATTCAGTGTATCATTGGTGATTTTTTCGGGTCTGAAGCCATTCTGGCAAGATCTAAGTACATGTATATATTTGAGGATCCCAGAAGTACAGTCGGGTTCATTCTTAACTCTCAAACTAGAATTCTGGGTTCGGATCCTGAGCAGGGTAGAAATATTTGGATGCATTTTCTATCACCTAATGCCTCTGTTCACCTAGTAGCAAGTAGATACCCAGGAGTTGGTCAGTTTGTGGGGTTGCATTCTGGGCGAGGTTGGTAATTCAGCCTTTGTGGGGAGAGGGGTGGGGGGCTTTGATATAAGCCTAACTTATATGAATACACTCTGGCTGCCTGTCCCCTGACACATTGAATTATTATTACTGCTTTATTATTATTATTACTGTATTATTAAGTCTTGTTTTGTTAGATTGTAGTAGAGCTGCTTGTGGATTAGCTTACAGTCCCCATGACACATTGGTAAAGCACTCACCCAGTGCTTCGCGAACGCTTTGACTCGGGTTCGTATCCTGGCCAGGTAGGATTGACTGGGCGCCAATCCCTAACTGTAGCATCTGTTCACCCAGCAATGAATGGGTACCTGGTTGTTAAAGGATTTGGCGGGTTGTATTCCAAGGAAAATTAGGATTAAAGACCTGCCCGAAACGCTATGCTTGCTAGTGGCTTTACAAGAATGTAATAACCTTTGTGTGTGTGTGTGTGTGTGTGTGTGTGTGTGTGTGTGTGTGTGTGTGTGTGTGTGTGTGTGTGTGTGTGTGTGTGTGTGTGTGTGTGTGTGTATGAGTATGTACTCACCTAGTTATGCTTGTGGGGGTTGAGCTCAGGCTCTTTGGTCCCGCCTTTGAGCCTACTGGACTCTATCCTGTCTACATTTGGAACTGTGTATGGAGTCTGCCTCCACTACATCACTGCCTGATTCATTACGTCTGTGGCTCATTTGGGTATACAGTTTCCACTTCTGTGTGTGTAATTACCTAAGTGTAGTTACAGGATGAGAGCTACGCTCATGGTGTCCCATCTACCCAGCACTCTGTTATAACGCTTTGAAACTACTGACGGTTTTGGTCTCCACCACCACCTCACCTAACTTGTTCCAACCGTCTACCACTGTTTGCAAAGGTGAATTTTCTTATATTTCTTCGGCATCTTTGTTTAGTTTAAATCTATGATCTCTTGTTCTTGAAGTTCCAGGTCTCGGGAAATCTTCCCTATCGATTTTATCAATTCCTGTTACTATTTTGTACGTAGTGATCGTATCACCTCTTTTTCTTCTGTCTTCTAGTTTTGGCATATTTAATGGCTCTAATCTCTCCTCTTAGCTCTTGCCCTTCAGTTCTGGGAGCCACTTACTAGCATGTCTTTGCACCTTTTCCAGTTTGTTGATATGCTTCTTAAGATATGGGCACCACACAACCGCTGCCTATTCTTGCTTTGGCTTAACAAGAGTCGTAAACAATTTTTTTAGCATTTCGCCATCCATGTATTTAAAAGCAATTCTTAAGTTAGAAAGCGGGGCATAGGCTCCTCGCTCAACGTTCTTTATGTGGTCCTCAGGTGATAGTTTTCTATCTAGAACCACCCCTAGATCTCTTTCTTTATCAGAATTCTTTAAAGATTTCTCACATAATTTATAGGTTGTTTGGGGTCTATGTTCTATGCCACATTCCATAACATGGCATATATTCACATTAAATTCCATTTGCCAAGTGGTACTCCATATACTTATTTGTCCAGGTCTTCTTGAAGGGCATGACAATTATCTAAGTTTCTTATCCTTCCTATTATCTTAGCATCATCCGCAAACATGTTCATATAATTCTGTATACCAACTGGTAGATCATTTATGTAGACAATGAACATCACCGGTGCAACCCTGTGGTACTCCACTTGTGACATTTCTCTAATCCGATACATTGCCTCTGATTACTGCCCTCATTTTTCTATCGGTCAGAAAATTTTTCATCTATGTTGAAGCTTACCAGTCACCCCTCCAATATTTTCCAGTTTCCAGAACAACTTCTTATGTGGAACTCTGTCGAAAGCCTTTTTTAGGTCCAGATAGATGCAGTCAACCCAATCATCTTTTTCCTGTAAAATCTCTGTGGCTCGATCATAGAAACTGAGTAAATTAGATATGCAGGATCTTCCAGAACAAAAACTGTACTGTTTGTCTGATATCTTATTTCTCTCCAGGTGTTTTGCCCATTTAGTTTTTATAATTTTTCCAATATTTTCACTATTACACTTGTCAATGATACAGGTACAGGATACAGGGTACAGGGTACGCATAGACGCGATAAAGCACCTAAATTATTGGGATCATCTCAAAGCCCTCCAAATGTACTCACTAGAAAGAAGACGAGAGAGATATCAAATAATATACACCTGGAAGATACTGGAGGGC